TCTGAACGTGCTTAACGGATGACATGTAAGTATTTTAAAGGAGTTACTCAATCTAAGATCATAGAAAAGGGAAACGGAGGCCTTGTTGTTGGCACGTGAACGGGGTATCATTTTTCATAGTTACCTTTTCTGTCTAAAATGGTAATAAAACAGAAAGGGTGCGGCCTCGTAGTTGGGTACCCCTCCCCCTCCCCAGGTACCCTGCAAAAAAATGTTTCTGGCCAGTCTTCACTGCAGATCGATAGACTATTTTAGAAGGATACAAGGACCTCTCTCGTATTGATCGCTGGCTTTTCAAGTCTTCTCCATGATCGCTTCATGAATAATTGTGAAAGAGCATAGGGAAGAGAATCAAAGAATGAGCGCTGACGACAAATCATGGGTCCAGGGATGCTCCGCTTGTAAGAATTTTGGACCAAAAAACATGAAAAATTGAAATCTAAAATAGGGTCAGCAAAATCCAGTTTCCGGAAGACGTGGCGCCAAGAGTAAGTTAAACCCTGTTTCAGAGGTGCAAAATTCAAAGTGACAATCTTCCTGGTGCTACTGACCGTGATAAAGCTGAGCCACAATAATTATGTTCTTACTTAATTTGCTAGAACTTCCAAATACAGTTTGCTCAAGAGACTATATGATCAAAGTCTCTCCGTTTGCCAGTTCACATGATTATAATTTCATTCATGCAATTCGCTGCTTTTGTTTTTTTTTTCAAAAACAATAATTTTACGGCAATATCCGGCCTACGGGAGGTCACCTTTTTAGTGTCAGGAATGGCTTTTAATGTTTGGTGGAACCATTTCTAAAAGACCTCGCATTCAGACATTCTACAATATTATTTTACTGCTGAACTTAAGTATGTCGACTTAGCTTCTTGTCCACACTTATCCTAGTGAACGATGGACGCCGATCTACCATTATGAAACAATTGTCAGTTTTATTTCGAATCAGTCCTTAATCATCTGCGCGTGGCCCGCGAACAACGAGCGAGCGTCACGCGTGTACTGGAGCCGCTGGCTTAAATCCAGGTTGGGCCATGGGACGGGAATCAAATGGTTTTAATGTCTGGAAACACTGTATAAGAAGCTAGAAGAATCAAGAAACAACACGCCTTGCTTAGGGGCTGTTTGTTCGCGGGAGTACTTACCCCTAAGTCCGCCTTCCTAATGGTCAGCTTGAGCGGACATGCGCGTGAAGCGCCTGGTTGGTTTTGCCGGATGTTTTAAAAAAATACTCGTTAATAATTCATGTTCACAAGAAGTAGTCTAATTTTAGGTCGTAAACCGCTTGCTAATTTTCAGGCAAAGCCCACAAACGGGAAAACAAGAGCTTTACGATCCGTTTGCCGCAGGAGGCTTGTGATCATCGATGTCCAATGCCGCCTGCACGAGGCTTGAAACTATGAATGAAAAGGGTCAAGATTGGGGCGATTTTGTCAACCGTTACACCTCGCATTCTTCGCGGCACTCAAGCCCAGAAAGAGAGCTAGATTACGGAGATATGAGGCTAACTCCATCACCAATCTCGCCTGTGTTTGGTACCGCGGAGAAGCAATTCTGCAGGAGAGATAATATTGACCAGTGTATCGCCTATTTGAACCAGGTAGGTACTTTCGGGTGATTCAACAAGTTGGAACAAGCTTATATGTTTGCTGCGATAAGCTTATATAAACGCTTGGATCTAATGATTGCTCCCATTGTAAGCTTGCAAGCTTTGTGAATGATTTTAAATAGTTCAGTTGTCAACCGGTAAAAAATTTCCGCCTAACCGTTGCTGGAGTCTGCACTGTTTCAATATCATTTTCACTGTACCTTCATTTTCTGTTCTAGATTAAGCTTATAATGTAGGCTTAACGGATTCGAATTATTTTATTCTGTACACGTTCGGTCGCGTGGGTTGAATATTTTTCTTGTCGCTACACCTGTACTTTAATCAAAGTACCATGTCGGATGGCATCTGTGTTGTTAGCAACCATTAATCATTTCAGTAACATGAGAAATTTGCTGAGTCCGTTTGGTTTCATTATCGAGGTGAACTTCAAAGATTACTAATGCTCTATTTCATGTTTGTTTCTGCACCGGTTTTTTATTAGCTTTCACTTCAAATCCTTCAGCAAACATTTAAATAGCTAATGAGACAGTCTATTGTTTTGTACCATTGTCTTTGACAAACGGAAAGTCATGAAAAATATCTGAAACAAAAGTTTCGTTTTGCAAATTAACAAAATGATTAAAAAAGAAAGTGAACTTTGGATCACATTTTTACTGTAGAATTAAAATGCAGTGCTGTGGATTCTCTTGCTATTTACTGTACGTAAAGAATTTAGATTTAGAGAGGGGAAAGCCTATAGCAGCACTGCTTTGTGTCTAGTACTGTGCATGTATCTAAATCTTACTGCAAATCACAAATAAAATTTTTTAGCTTATGCCATACAGACAGTGTATTCATGTATTGGTGGTAATCTAATATCGTGTCTTTTATTTTTTTATCATTCATGTTTGGACAGGTTTAAAGATTTTGTAATAATTATTGTCTTTCTTACATGTAGCCACATTCATGGCTGTTTTTGGGCTGTAAGAATGCTGGCGTGCTGCAAGAATTAAGTTTTAATTCACATTTGTGATCACAATGAATTTAAATTACAACACAGGCATTACATGTACATTTACAGACAAGGAAGTTAATATGTATCTCAAAGTCAGTGATAAACAGGGGTTTTATTAAAGGTCGGGAACTGGGCAAATTGAGTGGCTGTGAGGATGATCCCCGGCTCAGGTTTAAACATCTCAAAGAAAGTTTTTCTCATAAGGAAGTTTAGTTCAAACAGTTTTTCCTTATACCTGTAAAAACCAGTTGCCCCCCTGCTGAAAACATTAATGAAACCCTTGCTGAGAAACAAGTTGATACAAAATATTCTTTCATTCTTTGTCAGGTGAAATTAATGGTACTGATTTTTTCATATGCTAAATCATATTTATTTTATATTTTGGCCCAGTAGATATATTTTTATTTTTAAAAATTGTTGAATTACCAATTGAATTATTTGATTTTATAAGACAGTGCTTGGAGAAGAATTAACAAATTTGTAACATCTGTTGGCAATCACTTTATTTGTTGCATTCAGTTTATCTCCATTTTCGTCTTGTAATGTATTGGTATTGTTAGGAGAATTTATATGTCGACACTCTGGACTTGGAAATTAACTTCAAGTTTGTGTTGCAAGCAATCCAATCTTATTTTTTTAATTCTCAGGAACTTGGTGTTCTTGGCTTCTCGTCACTGTTCACACCGTCGCGCAATGGAAGAGGGCCACCTGATACATTTGACATTGTCAAATTAGTAAACAGTACTTATGAACTCTTGCAGCAACAGCAACGAAACATGAAACAGTTGACAGATCTTGAGCAGAAGTGAGTCTACATTACACTGTTCTACTGTCAACACTGCAGCAAGGTGTATAAAATAGCAGTAACTGACAGCGATACTACGTACACTCGCATTGGTCAATAGGTGTGTTCAGATGAGAGCATGTAAACATGGGTGTGACATTTTAGATTTGCGCGTAGTTTTTAGAAATATTTTATAACGGCAATATCTGTTCTTTTTCCGTGTTTACATAGCGTCATCTAACTAAATACTTGGGGGTTGGGAGAATTCTGGAAAGTTATGCCAACCCGAGACGCAGTTGAACTTTGGCATAACTGTTTCAAATTCTCTAAACCCCCTTGTGTTTAAATGAGGCTATGTAAACATGGAAAAGGCACTCTATTGCTTTTAAGTACATGTATATTATAATTGAAATTGTTGTTGTTGTTGTTTTTTTAATTTCCTTTTTGACTTTAAACAGGAATCTTCGAGCAGAGTGTGATAATGAACACCTTATGCAGACCCAGAACAGACTCAAGGTATTCTCAAGTGATTTTTTTTTTTGTGAATTAAATAGATGTGATAAAATTAATATATGTCCATATCTAAAAATTAATTATTAAAGCTGTTGTGGTTGGTCAAAATTGATTTGCACTAGTTTAATTTATTAATTTTGTATTTTTCTCGATCTTACAAAAATGGTAATACAGATTTAAAGCAAAAAGCTACTTAACTACATTGCTAGATTTATTTAACTTATACATACTAATGAGGCATATGCGCATATACTGCATGTACACGTATGCATGTATAAGCATCACACATGTGATATACTTGTTTTCAGTTGATATGTATTATGCATGTACTTTGGTTAATTTATTTCCAAGCTGTACTGCATTTATTCATTTTGACCTACATGTAGCATATTCATTTGAAGCCACAAGATGGCCACTATAAGCGTAAATAAAATGAAATCAAGAAATCAGTGACAATGTACATGTATTTATTACGCAATTGTAATTTAAAACTTGAACCAAGTTGAGTTGTAGTACACAAATTCTGACTATATGTCTAATGGTTCAACATTGTTGTGTATTTTATCACAGGAGCAATTAGAATCAGCTCAGAGAGAGATTGCTATGAGAAATGAAAGAGAACGACAACTACAGGGAAAACTTCTAAAGGCAAAGGAAGAACTCAAGTTAGAGAGAGAGGAGGTGCATTATAAAATTAACGCTTTTAGATACAGGTCTACAACAATAGTGTGACTGTATCAGTTGACATTATTTTGTAATCACTGCTCAGCGCCAGGTTGTTTGAAAGGTGGTTTATGTTAACTGGAGTGCTCAAGCTCTTCACTGCACTTCTTTTGAGTAGTTTGAGATTATTAAAACTCAAAACAGAAGGCAATCAATATAAACCAAAAACCTTACTGCGAAGTTACAAAATCAAATTTTTTGCTAATCCTGGGTAGCTTTTATTTTGTATTATTTTGTAGTTAAAAGGCAAAAGTTTTGTGGTACCAGTTTCTCCTTTTTAATCGTCATCTTAATTTGTACTCCATTTGTTTGGGTCACTGAGGACAGATTAGTCATTGCAGCAATCAATCAATGATATGTAATATGTGCTTACATGTACTTGTTTGTGGGTTATCATTTATCGTGCAAACACTGGTCAACAGATTTCTGGCTGTTGCTTGTCTCCACCCAAAATAGAGGGTCTAACATGGGCTTTTTCAATCCTGCATCCCGCTGCTAATTTTGGTCTAGTACCACCATCGCGCTCCCTTCAAAAGGTTTATTCCGATCCCTCCTGGGTAAAGTTGCATTTCTCTGCATAACATCCATAACCGGTAATTTCATCCCACATCCCACATCCCACATCCCACATAGTTTCAAAACTATCCACCATCCTGTCTGTCAAAACGAACAAATCCTGCTCATGCCAAATTATTTTTATCCCACATCCCGCATTCAAATGTCTGTCATCCTGCATCCCCCCTCCATTTTCACTATCACATCTCCAGCCTCGCTGCCATTCAAAGGCCAAGTCACTGCACAGACAACTGTAAAATGGTCTATTGGATATTTCCTGGAACTGCACAATCATTTTAAATAAGTGTCAATTGAAAGTATTTAATCTTATAACCTTTCATTACTTTTTTTGTAAAATTTATCTTTCTTGCAGTTAAAGAAAACCAAAGCCAACTCACTTCATATACAGAAACAGTTTGACCATGAAACAAGAAAAAAAGAAAGGGAATTCAGCAAGCTCAAGGAAAGAATTCATCAACTTCTCACAGATAAAAGCCAGGAGAAGAAAGTGGGACTGGACATTTTAAATTTGATAAATAGACCAGCTGGTGGACAGCGAGCAATGTGGAAGACAGGATCTGCTAAGTATGTACTAAATGCAATATGCTCTGACTAGGTACAGGTAAATAATTTATTGGCAGCATATTATGTCAGTAGTCCCTTCTGAAAGCTGGTCAGTTAGGAAACATCACCAAAACTTTACTTTCAATTAGTTAATGTTAACTTTATAAAAGCTGCTTTAATATATTATATCAAGGTTTTTTTCTTGTTCTTTTTAGAAATGAAGAGGAAATGTACAGAATGCTTATCACAAATTATGAGGAAAGGGAAAAGGTATACAATGTTTTTGTTAAAGATAGCAATTATTCTTAAACATTCTCTGTTATGTCTTAAATTGTCACAAAGGTTTGACTACACAAGGCACAGCTATTAATCATAGATTTTAAGGTGAAAAAAATATTTCCAAGGCCTGCAAACTGCTTAGTCCCTAACGAGCAGTCTCCATTTTTGAGATAAATTTTATGCTGCTCAAGGGAATTGTACTGTCTAGCACTTTTATTTAAGGATAAAGAGATTTCCTTTGCTTATTAAAAATGTAATATTTAGTTGATACTCACATTGTATGAATCTGTTTTTCTGAATTACCCAAATGCAGGAGCTAATGGTTGAAAACAATGATATGCGGGAAACACTTCAGAATATGCAGACAGAACTAGTAAATCTGCTGAATCAACAGAATAATGATTATGAAACTAATACAGAGGTAAGAAAAAAATATTTATTACCTGTTTATTTATTTTCAAATTAATGTTTTTCTCTACAGTTTTTTCAAGATTCTTTCCAATGTAATATCAGAAAAAAAAAAAGTTGAAGAGTAGAGAACCACTTTGGTTTAAAGGACTTAGAGGTGAAAGTTTCAGAGATAGTTAAATTTATTTCCACTTTTTTTTTCAATATTAATAAATAAATGCATTGTGTATATTACGTATATTGTGGCCCTAGAGATTCACTAGATCCGCAATCACTACGGATGATCATTACAAATTTGAATTTTACGTATTATAAATGTAATAACAGCTCATTATTTTGTATTTGCTGTCATTACGAAAGGGTGGTGAAGTTAGCGAGCCAGGTTCAGTGGATGAACTATCAACAGGACATTTTAACATGCCATATGACATGGTTAGAGAAGGTAAGAAATCCTTGATTTCTATGAATTTCCTGGTTTGTAAAATCCTCCTTTGCAGGCCTTCCTCCCATCTGGAGTCATCTGTCACACTTCTCACTTCTTTCCGTGCTGTTGCAGTAAGTATCACACGTTAAGTGTTTGAACAAACTTGCATTTCAGGGATTGAAAGTAGTTTGAGAGAAAAGTGGAGATTGCTTAAGTCAAGGTTAGAAGAAGCAAACAAAGGAACAACAAATGGTAAGAATATCACAAGTTTTTTTTTATACTGACATAATAAGAACATTGTTTCTTGAAATATTTGCCATTTTTTCAAATTTGTCTTTCGTAATATTCTTAATCTTTCTCAGCCATAATGTGCACCATCAGTATTTATTTTCAGTTTGCTGTAATTATGATTTCTTCATTTAAATACTCTAGAAAACTAATGAAAGTTTTTGAGGTTTACTTTTAATTAATCTGAAAGTACTTTTGTACAACAGATAGATTTTCTTAAAACAGTCATGGCATACTTGTAGCATCCCATTTATACACGTGGGCCAAAAAAGACACTGTGTCGGAGAGTTAAATAGCGTCTTGTCCAAGTAAACAAAGCAGTGACTACCGTAGTGGCATTGAGCTTTAAACTAGACTGCTCTATCCATTGTCCATTTGAACCACTCACAAAGGGTAGAGGACTGGGGTGGATCTACGGGGATTTGGATGGTTCGGGCGACTGTAACAGTTCAGTAACACACTGACTTGGCCTCAGAATGCCAGAAATCCCATTTCCAAGGACCTCAATTTTAAACATTTTCCGGGGGAGGACTGGCCCCCCAACCCCTCTGTAGGGGACTTCCTTTGGCAGTCCGTATCTTGACCTCCTTCTCTAAAGTCCTGTATCTGCCAGAGAAGACATGTACAATCAATCAATCTTTATTTGTACTCATTCATGCTACAGAAAAAATTTACAATTACTCCCTGTTGTTGAGTGTTTTTGAGGACTAAGAGATTGTTTGAAGCCTGTGAGTTTACTTCTGGGTTACATATAATAATAAGATCATAATTATCAGACTGAAGACTTTTTTTTGTGGAAATATCCGACCTGTTCTCAAATCGTTTTTGATCTCCCTTTGCATAACCAGGTTCTGCTTCCACAAAGCCAGATGAAGTTTTAAGGTTAGAAAAACAGTTAGAGAACTATAGGCATGTCGTGGAACAACAAGAAAATCTTATAGAGGTAAGATCTCCTAGCATTAATTTTCGTTCTGGTTGTAAGCCCTGTTTGGTATACCAGATTCTTATTTCTTAAGCGTATAACTCCATGTTGCAGGTGTGAACTTTCTTATAGTGGTTTTTTACTCGATGTGCCCACTAGAATTCTTGATACAATCAGGTAAAGAGGTAGAAAATTTTCTGTAGACTCTGACTTTAATCTTATTACTGTCTTGTTTTTCAGTCCTTGCAATCAAAAGCAAATAGTCCTGCAAAAGATTCTTCGTTCTTGGNATCTGTTTTTCTGAATTACCCAAATGCAGGAGCTAATGGTTGAAAACAATGATATGCGGGAAACACTTCAAAATATGCAGACAGAACTAATAAATCTGCTGAATCAACAGAATAATGATTATGAAACTAATACAGAGGTAAGAAAAAAATATTTATTTATTTATTTATTTATTTATTTATTTATTTATTTATTTATTTATTTATTTTCAAATTAAAGTTTTTCTCCACCGGTTTTTCAAGATTCTTTCCAATGTAATCTCAGAAAAAAAAGTTGAAGGGTAGAGAACCAGTTTGTTTCAAAGAAATTAGAGGTGAAAGTTTCAGAGATAGATAAATTTATTTTCCACTTCTTTTTCAATATTAATAAATAATGTATTGTGTATATTATGTATACTGTGGCCCTAGAGATTCACTTGACATTATGGATCCGCAATCACTACGAATGATCATTACAAATTTGAATTTTACATATTATAAATGTAATAACAGCTCATTATTTTGTATTTGCTGTCATTACGAAAGGGTGGTGAAGTTAGCGAGCCAGGTTCAGTGGATGAACTATCAACAGGACATTTTAACATGCCATATGACATGGTTAGAGAAGGTAAGAAATCCTTGATTTCTGTGAATTTCCTGGTTTGTAAAATCCTCCTTTGCAGGCCTTCCTCCCATCTGGAGTCATCTGTCGCACTTCTCCCTTCTTTCCATGCTGTTGCAGTAAATATCACGCATTAAGTGTTTGAACAAACTTGCATTTCAGGGATTGAGAGTAGTTTGAGAGAAAAGTGGAGATTGCTTAAGTCAAGGTTTGAAGAAGCAAACAAAGGAACAACAAATGGTAAGAATATCACAAGGCTTTTTTTTATACCGACGTAATAAGAACATTGTTTCTTGAAAAATTTACCATTTTTCCAAATTTGTCATTTGTAATATTCTTAATCTTTCTCAGCCATAATGTGTACCATCAGTATTTATTTTCAGTTTACTGTAATTATGATTTCTTCATTTAAATACTCTAGAAAACTAATGAAGTTTTTGAAGTTTACTTTTAATTAATTTGAAAGTACTTTTGTACAACTGATAGATTTTCTTAAAACAGTCATGGCATACATGTAGCATTCCATTTATACACCTGGGCCAAAAAAGACACTGTGTCGGAGAGTTAAATAGCATCTTGTCCAAGTAAACAAAGCAGTGACTACCGTAGTGGCATTGAGCTTTAAACTAGACTTCTCTATCCATAGTCCATTTGAACCACTCACAAAGAGTAGAGGATTGGGGTGGATCTACACGGGTTTAGATGGTTCGGTCAACAGTAACAGTTCAGTAACACACTGACTTAGCCTCAGAATGCCGGAAATCCCATTTCCAAGGACATCAATTTTAAAAATTTTCCGGGGGAGGACTGGCCCCCCGACCCCTCTATAGGGGACTTCCTTTGGCAGTCCGTATCTTGACCTCCTTCTCTAAAATCCTGTATCTGCCAGGGAAGACATATACTCCCTGTTGTTGGGTGTTTTTGAGGACTAAGAGATTATTTGAAACCTGTGAGTTTACTTCTGGATTACATATAATAATAAGACCATAATTATCAGACTGAAGACTTTTTTTGTGGAAATATCCGACCTGTTCTCAAATCGTTTTTTGATCTCCCTTTGCATAACCAGGTTCTGCTTCCACAAAGCCAGATGAAGTTTTAAGGTTAGAAAAACAGTTAGAGGACTATAGGCATGTCGTGGAACGACAAGAAAATCTTATACAGGTAAGATCTCCTAGCATTAATTTTCGTTATGGTTGTAAGCCCTGTTTGGTATACCAGATTCTTATTTCTTAAGCGTATAACTCCATGTTGCGGGTGTGAACTTTCTTATAGTGGTTTTTTACTCGATGTGCCCACTAGAATTCTTGATACAATCAGGTAAAGAGGTAGAAAATTTTCTGTAGACTCTGACTTTAATCTTATTACTGTCTTGTTTTTCAGTCCTTGCAATCAAAAGCAAATAGTCCTGCAAAAGATTCTTCGTTCTTGGTAAGTTTGTTAAAACTTGAAATGGGCAGCAAATTGTTTCTTATCTTGGAGAGCGGACTGTATAAATTGACATTTCGATCTATTTCTTTTTCCTCTTAGACGGACTCTCAGTTGTGTGAGGATCAAGAGAAGGTCGAGTCAGACAAGCAGTTCTTTGCTGAGCAAAGAGCAGCACTTGAGAACGAGCGGAGACAACTGACTGATGCCGCAGTGAAACTGGGACATGAGGTGGGAAACATTCACATTGCAAAACAAACTAAGATATCAGGAGAGAAAATAAGGACTAATGATATTATTGAGACTAGAAGTTGTCAGTGATCATCTCAAGCTTTGAAAGGTGCTAAATCACTTTATTTGGCCTAGAGGATTGCTTCAACAGGATTCAAACTTGCGACTTTCGCGATGCACAAGGTACATGTACGTATAGATGGAAACTCCTTGACACTAAATTATGTAGAATCCAATACTGAGAAGCTAGGTATGATGTAGTCGTGTGTCACCGTACTCTCCAGAACTTGCAATGTAGGCTTGATTCTTCCAGTCTTCGCGGTAGAAAAGGGTTGGGGTTGGATAAAGAAGGAAGGGTATAGGTGGTGAAGGAAGCGGTACCTTGAGCTTGTTTACCCAGCAGAGTCTGCCTGCACGGTCCTGTTGTTTAATATGTGCCTTTTTCTCTTTTTGTGCAGAGGAAGAAGTTTGAAGAGGAACGAACTTCCTTTTACAAACAGCAGCTTTTGACGCCATTAAAAAAACAGTCATTCGAAGGAAGAAAGTCAAAATGTAAGCTTCCATTTGCTGTGGATACAAAGTCAACACTTATCCATTAACAAAGTGCATGAATGTGTTAGCTTCAGACAGGAAAAAACCCCTACTACATGTAGCACTAACTAAACATTGAAACGGCATGCCCATTGTTTCAAAGTGTTACTGCACGGTCAGTCGATGGCCTAGTCAGTGGCTCCTTTGCCCAGTCAGTCTGTATGGTCAGTGGGTCAGTCAGTTGGAAATTCAACCAATCAGACCTCGGGAAGTCTTTCGTTCTGATCAGTCAATCAGTCAGTCAGCCAGCCAGTCAGTCAGTCAGTTAGTAAGTCGGTCTGTCAGTTTGTCAGTCTGTCAGTCAGTCAGTCGGTCAGCCAGTCCGTCAGTCAGTCGGTCAGTCAGTCGGTCAGCCAGTCGGTCAGTCAATCGGTCAGTCAGTCGGTCAGCCAGTCGGTCAGTCAGTCAGTCAGCCGGTCGGTCAGCCAGTCGGTCAGTCAGTCGGTCAGTCAGTCAGCCAGTCGGTCAGTCAGTCGGTCAGCCGGTCGGTCAGCCAGTCAGTCAGTCGGTCAGTCTGTCAATCAGTAAGTCATTCAGATAGTCAGTAAATCAGACAAACAGCTAGATAGTCGATCATTCAGCAAGAGAGGTTTTTTAGTAATCAGTCAGTCAGTTTTTCTTGAGTTGTAAAAATAAGATAAGATAAGGACTTTATTAACGTGTCGAAGTCGCTAGCATACAATGTATACTAATTGGGGACACCTAACTACGATTACTTATCTAATAATGTGACATTACTTATTCTTTGCTTTTTAGCACCTGATGGTCCTCGGCTTCAGTTCAGTGCTGTGTCGTTTTCGCCGGCTCCAAGAGGCGTTCTCTTATCCGAACCAAGAGTTTCTCCTAATGTTCCGCGGGAAGGACCCGTAGAAATCCCGAACACAGAAGAGCTTTATAAAGCTTTATCATTACGGACAGATAAGTCACAGATTATCAACGAATTCAACGAGTAAGTGCTGTATATTGAAAGAAAAGGAATATCCAAGTTTTTTAATTTCGGTCGCAAATATTATTGTAATTTTTATCAAATTTAAGATTTTCTATCACCATTCTTACTAGCTTCTAGGGTTGCGCCTCGCATGGGTAACTTTATTTTCCCGTTCGCGCAATTCCTATTGGTCCTTTTCTTCTTTTAATTATATTGTAATTTTGTGACCAATAAAGTTGATAGACTAAAGACAACTGTTAAGGCTTACTACGTTTGACAAATTCTTCGTTGCAACAGTCGAAGAATTTCCTATTTTTATTAACCAATCAAAAGCTATCACGAGCAGTCACGGACACTCCGAAAAGTGTCACGTCAGCATGACGTAAGACGGGAACGCCATGTTACTTAGCAACTAGTTTGGGTATGAAGACCGCTGGCCAATCAGTATTCAAGGACAAAACGTCACTTGTTCTCCCTTCGAAAACCATTAATCTTCTTACATTCACATTCTTTTTCGATTTCCATGTGTGAGTTTCTTTTTTTTTATTGCAGAACACCTCTCAAGGGCTACTCCGAGGTGGATGGATCCGCGAGAAGATCATCGCCCACGAGACAGCCATCCAGCGGTGATTCACTGAAAGAAAACCAATGTGATTCAAATACCGCGGACGAAAGACAAGCTAGGAGAATCAATGAGCATGCGCGCAATGTCAAGAAAGCTCTGCAGATGAAAAGGAGTTCATCTGGTGATTTATGAGGGGTGACGTCAGTTGACGTCATGTCACGTCAATTGACGTCATGCTGACGCCACTTTCTCGTCAAGCCATCAAGGAAGTTGCAGTTCCACAAAAGAGAAGAAAAAAATTTCCGAGCCTTTACAGAATGGAGTAGACATTCTGCGACACGCTTACATGTAAATATCATCAGTGCTATGCAGGCGTGTTGAACCATACATGGTTCTTTTAAAATATGGAAAAAATGAAATCTCTTCCTAATAGTAGTGATTGCATTTCTTCAATCATTACTATCATTCATTGCTTTCTAATGAGATGTTCTCTTTTACCGCGCTAACTTTAAACCTCTTCGAGCGTTCTTCTCAGCTAAACGCCAGTTACATAATTTCTGAGCGAGTAGTTAACTGTCTACTAGAAAATTTGCGGTACATGACACATACAGTGTTTTAACTTGCTTCTACGTCAGCGAAAGCGTTTTGGTAAAATTTTGATGTTTTTGGTCTGAAATGAAAAATCGTATGTTTACTCTACGGCCTGGAATTGGGTATGGTTTAGAAGAAACGTTTCGTCCATTGCCAGCCGTGAATTTGAAGAAAACTGTTTAAACCCAAATTGAAGACATTCCTGGTTGCGTGTGAAAACACGACATAGGTGTCTCAGTCAGTACTGAACGTAATTGTGCCTACGTCACTCAGCCTTAAGGTTTCAAGTTAATTTCTCATTTTGTTCATATTGCAAACTAATTTAATGCTTTCTCAGAAGAGTGGAACGTTGAGCTGGATCTTTACGTTGAAGTTCAAGAAGCTACACCTACGTCACAGGTTGCGCATCTTGGATAGTTTAGCCTAAATTTTTCACGTTTGCCGTTTTTAATCCATGTTTGTCTTCTCCATCCTTAACCATCCTTGTTCCTTTATGGTTTATTATTATCTCTTTGGTGTTTTTCTATCTTCGTAAACTATTATTTCCAGGTTCCTACAACTACATTTTTACGTGGCAAAGGTTGCCCAACCCGGCCACGGAGTGCAGGTGCTGGTGCATGTCATTAAGTTAATACAGTGCCAAGTAATATTTTGTTGTGCATGGTGCTCTTGTAAAAGTAATTTTGTGCGTGGCCAAAACAACTCAAAATACGAGTTAGGAAGTCTTCAGATCGTGAATCACTGAATTCTGTCTCGATAGTGACGAAGCAAAACTACATGTCAAACGTGGAATAAATGCTGGTGTAATTGTATAGAGTGTATAGATAATGTATTATATTTGTAGAAAAATAAGAGAAAACTATTGCTGTGGCAAATAAATGCGATTTTCTTTACAATGCATTTTTATTTTCATTTGCCTGTTATGCTGATACTGTCGAGGGTAATTCGCATGAACAGCTTAGAAGTCAGCTATTTAACTTTTTCTTTCTCTCACATTCATACAATAAAGGTAAAAAAGGTGAGATTACCTGTAGCCAGCCACCTTTACCAGTATTGGGTGAGCAGCTTTGTGGCCTTTACCCTTTCGTAAGAGCAAAAGTTGAATTGTCCTCATGTAATTTACGACCACACCTTTTCCATCTCTGATTTAGTTTGAAACCTGTATAGACACATTTCAAAACTGGTGGACAAATAAAACGAAACAGCAACTAGCATTGTCAAATAGTATGATTTTATACGGTGTTTTCGACAAAACGGAGCATAGATACTCTTTGAACTATGTGCTTCTAATTCTACAAGAACGTGCACGGGACGATGCCTCTGGAACTGTTCAATTCAAGCGTTTCGAAATGCTTTAAAAAAATGGAGAAACAGGCTTGGCTGTTTGGTGCGCGAAATACTTTTTATAAGAGCTTTAAAGCCAAATCTTAACGTGCAATCAGATTCCATTCGTACGAAAGTATTTTTATAATCTTCGTACCTTTTTATGTTAATTCTTCGCGCCAAAATCGCTTTAAATGTTGTAATTTGCATTTCTCTTATTGTGGTAGTTATTAGATTTATTAGTTAGGTAGTTAGACCAATTTAATTCAATATTGTTAAGTCCTGAAGGAAATACCGTGTCTAAATAAAGATTTCACCTTTACCTTTTACCTTTAGGGTATAAGGGTAAAGGGGTAGAAGCGTATAAGGGCATAAGGGCACAAGGGGTATAAGGGTCTAAGGGGGTATAAGCATATAAGGGTATAAGCGTATACGGTTATAAGGGGTATAAGCGTATAAGGGTATAAGGGGTGTAAGGGTAAAGGGGTATAAGGGTTCAAGATGTATAAGGGGACAGGGGAATAAGGAGTATAAGGAGTATAAAGGTTATAAGGCGGTATAAGGGCATAAGGGGTATAAGGGTGTAACGGCCGAGGGGTATAAGTGGTATGAGGGTATAAGGTGTATAAGGGGTATAAGGGTACAAGGCTCCGCTTTCTTCGAAAACATTACCCCTCTAGGGTATACGGACCAGCAAATGTGTCAAGGAAAGGTCTCCGTTGAAGAACTCCTAAAAGCCTTAAATGATTTCCAAAACGCGTTCCATTTTGATAGCTGCTAATTGTGGTGCTTTATCTGCAAGATCCAGCAAGTATATAAATATGTTAAGTCGAGTTCATGGCCATGTTAAATGTTTTTCTAGCTGGGGCAATAACTTCTGGGGTATAATTTATTCTGCCCCAAAAGGTTTTCGCTCCGTTCTACTGAGACCTTCGGACCCC